GGAAAGCTGGTCACAAAAATGACATAGGAAAGACAAAATAAAAAATAAGGAAAAGAGGATGAAAAATCAGTCCAGCATTTCTCTCTCAAACACCAAATGTACAATCTGCAGCAAATCTAAATGGCAGAATCAAGACTTTAGGTAATCAGTAGAATTTGTCCTCTTGCTTAGCTATTCTGAGGAGCATAAGCAACATCATAAATGACACTTGCTTCTTTCTAAGAAATATGCACATCATATTGCACCTTACAAGTTTTTAGACATCTGGACATCAAAGCGGACAGATTCAAGAAAACTTAGAGCTTACTTGCTACAAGTACACACCTGCTCTCCAGAAACTGCCACAAGAATCCTCAACAACTACAACAGCCACAGAAGAACAAACTTTGTTGTAACATATGATAGAACGAGGCTAAAGCCTTAACTTATGGTCTTAGCACTGCCACAAAATTTACTGAAGAATCTCACACAAATTTTAATCTCATTTTAATGGCGCAAGAGATAACTGTGTTGTATATCCACATGAATAACAAAATTATTGCACTAATTTTTCAGCTGGGCATTCAAGGGCTTTCAAGAATTGCATGAAGTCAACAGAATATTTTAGTATGGTTCACTCTCCAGAAAAATAACATTTTTCATTTAATTCTGCTATCTTTAGAGTCCTTTTATCCATTATCATCATACAGACTGCAGTTATGGCAATTTTCACATTTCATTGGTTCTTTCTATATAAGCAGGTCCCTTACTGCTTTGGGTTTTTTAGTCCAGATCAGTACTATGCGGTTGATAGAGTTTGGTTAATGATTTTTAAAATTAAGCATATACTCCCCCAAATTTTGGGAATATTAGCTCAAAGAGAGCTTTGAATATATATAGAGAGAGTTTTTACAATCTGAAATTCAGTATGAAGTGAGATTCGGGAACCTTGTTCAGATCTATCTTTCCTCATTCTTTTGGAATGCTTATTGGAGAGATGTACTGAACAAGATGCCACAGAGTGCATAAAATTATAGATCATAAATCTGGGGAATTTTATTATCTGTCCTTCTTGGAAGTGCTGTAAATGAGACAAATATTTCTGCATTTTCATAAGACATTAAAATTGATTTCCATTTTAACTGTGGGGTACTGCAATTGCAAATAAAGTAGCTTGTCTATAAAAACGACAGTACCTTTTAGCACCTGCTTTTCTTCTTACAAACTTGTCACAGACAAGCACTAAAACCATTTTCAGTCTAATCTGTGGTATTTCACAGCCCATACACCTGCAACGTTGGCTTACAGTATCTTGCCAGCAAAACACAAGGTGCCACCTCCAACAGGCAGCAATCACAAACTCATCATCTTTTGAGATGTTCTACAACTTAACACCATTTCAGAGAAAACTGTCTGCCTTGCTTTCCCAAGGGATGTGCAGACATTTAGCACCTGGGAGAGCTCATGTGCCCAGGATGGGCAAAGGCAGCCACCTCCCAGCGAGAGGAGCCTGGCACAGATGTGGCACCTCGGGGCCACCTGTGCTAACTGACAGCTGGCCACAAGAAAGCACCCACGGTGGGAATGCCTTGGGCTGGCACAAGCACTTGGCTCTGCGGGCAAGGAGCCAACAGAACCCTGAGCAGGCTGTTCCTCATTTCCCAAGGCCAGCAGATCCCTGAGCAGGGGTTCCTCATTTCCCAAGGCCAGCAGAACCCTGAGCAGGCTGTTCCTCATTTCCCAAGGCCAGCAGAACCCTGAGCAGGCTGTTCCTCATTTCCCAAGGCCAGCAGAACCCTGAGCAGGGGTTCCTCATTTCCCAAGGCCAGCAGAACCCTAAGCAGTCTGTTCCTAAGACCAGCAGAACCCTGAGCAGGGCATTCTTGGCTTCCCAAGACCAGCAGATCCCTGGGCAGGGGTTCCTCATTTCCCAAGGCCAGCAGATCCCTGGGCAGGGGTTCCTCAGTTCCCAAGACCAGATCCCTGGGCAGGGATTTCTCTCCTCACTCAGGGGTTTGGAAACACAGAACTGAGCTGCAGCCCGGGAAGGAGGGTACTGAGCTGCCTGCTCAGCACAGCCCAGAAAGGGAATGGAGGCCAAGGAATCTCTGCCCCAACCCTGGTCAGCCACGTCTTGAGGAGCAGCACATTGACTATTGATGTAACACAAATCTCTGCTGAACAGAGCTGAACAGCCACACTTGGCTGAACTCTCCTGGAGCCCCAGCACAAGCCTGCTGCCTCAGCTGCAAACTGAATTAACCCACAGCCTCTTTGCAGGGCTGTGAGCACTCATACCCTGGTGGGACCGAGCTGCTGCTTAGACTCCCAAGTAGAACTCAAGGTAGAGGACAACAGGATATAAATCAGCCTGCTATCCAAGCAGACACTTTACACCAAATGTCTGTTTACCCACACTATGATGCAAATGAAGTTGCTGAGCAACCAGGAATTTGGTCCTATTTTTACTTCTGCGTTTAGAGCAGCATCACTAACTGAGAGTCTACCTTTATAAGAAAGTGTATACACTTACAAAAGATCTCAGATATTTTAAAAACAATTCCAAGATAAAGCAAAGTCCACTTGTGATCCTTGTCAAGATGCAGAGGGAGAAAAAAAACATTTTAAAGGAGATCAAAATCTTTAGTATTTATGTATGTTATCAAGTTTCATGATTTGCACAGGACTTGAAAATATATGTGATATTTTTGTTAAAGCAAAAAGCAATGTTGTAAGCACACACAACTACAGAAACTCCAAAAGAACCTGTGTAGTATATGAACAGTTACAAGATATGCTTTTCACATTTCATTTGCATTGGCTTTTCATTTAAATACTTTCCCATAATGATAATGGGTCATATACATAACTATATATTCAGTGAAGTTAAATCAGGAATTGATTTGGCTCCATATTCTTTCAGCTAAGACTGTAAATACCAGACTCCCGTCTGCTCTGTATGAATACAAATGGCCTCAGTGGAGTTCTGCCAGTTTATAGCTGCAGAAAATCAAGGCCAAAGGATCAGTCTTTCCCATAAGAGCAGGGATTTGTTTCCACACCATCTCTTCATAAGGTTCAGAATTATCTGGTGGGTACTCTCCATACTAAAATTATTTTTCTTCAGTGGCATTGTGTTTATACAAGTTTATACCAGGGTATCTCTGTGCATTAATAGAAATATACTCATAACAATGTCTGAGTCAGATTTGTCTGCATATTCTTTCCTTTCTTCAGTCTTTATCTTATTCTTCCACAACCATTATCTCAACAAATAATTAATGTTCCCTTTACAGTCATGAGAAGTGAACATTAACCCTGAACATTAACAATATCCAAGCTTTCACCTCAGCCAGCCAAGGAAACAACCTTTCAGTTTCCATCCCCAGAGGAAGGATTATTTTACTTCTCATAAAACTCAGAGTTCCTAAAACAGATAGTTCCTCCCCATAACTGAGGAACCATCAAGACTGTGGAGAGAAACACTCAGTATCCTTCAGGCAACACCAAAGGTAGCCAACTTCAACACAGATAAGCTCACTGACTGATAAGGACACAAATCTCTGCTGCACTTTAGACATCAATGAAGTCATTAATGCAAAGGGACTGGGGACATGCATCACACAGCCTTCACTTCCCATGGGTTCACCCAATGTCAGAGATTGTGCAGTTCAAAATCCTTGTCAGTGTGGCAGGGAGAAAACTGTTCCCTACTGCAGCAGCCCCTAAATCCATCCCAAGTAGCACTCCGAGTTTCCTGTTCCATGTGAGAGTTTTGCCTTTAATTCTTTTGGAAAACAGGAAAAATGTTTAGAAAAGGCCATAAATAGAAAAGATGAATGTCCCTTGCCAAGCCCTGCTGAAAATATTAAATATTAAACAGAATACATGCTACAAGAGGAAAAGATATATATTATTCAGACTTCAAACCACCTCACAAACACTAAAACAATTCCAGGTAACTAACTCCATGAGCAAGTATAAAATTTAACATGCACATAAAGTATGTTCTTAAAAATGACAACCTGGTAATGGCTAAGAGGAAAATATGCCTCCTCTGTGAAAGGTAATCAAATGAAAGGTACAAGCCAAAAACAACCACAGGGGCAGGGCAATAAAATGTCATGTACAGAAAATGCAGCCTATATTGCCTAATCTTCACTGTGATATTCATGCCCGTTAACAAGGAGTAAAAATCTAACTCATGAGTGGTGTAAATGTAAGGGGATTATTCCCATTTCTCTGTGTAAGATGAATGCCACTAAAGAGTTCCAATTTTGTTGGGTATTCTGCAGCAAAGTGTTTCTTTATATCAAAGGAAACCATATAATGACTATACTGAATGACACTTATGGAGCATAGTAGGTACTCTGAACATTTGGTAAGAATCATCTGCTTATGATTGAAGGAACTGAATGGCTGGATGTATCCCTAATGTACAGTGAAAAATTGATAATGAAATGAATAGAAAATGCACTTAAGAGATTCCAGAGCTGATGTGGCCTGAAGAATATTATAAACCCCTAGACAAGTTTTCTCATTGACTCTACTGGCAATAGGATTCTCACAAGACTGATCTCTAGTCTGTGTGACTCATGCCTTTCTAAAAAACCACACACAAGAAGCATCTAATTCACCATTCCACAAAGCCACAAATGTTCACCTTTATGGCTGATTCTTTGTCTGCAGGATAGCAAACTCTGTACAGAAAGATCTCTCAAATAGAAGGTTCCTTACTTTATCTTTGCTATACATACACATGTTAATGAGGTTGTCTCCCTTATTTTTCTGTTGAGGCTTTCAAAAGCTGACCTTGCTATCATTACACAACACTTCTCCATTTCTTTCTCCCAGATTTGTTATGAAGCTCTTTCAGAACTTACTTCTTATCCTTCTGATTTATACACATCTGTGTCCTTCAGAAGAAGATGAATTAGTAATTAGATCTCTTCAGAAATTTATAACTTTAAAGTTTCACTGGAAAACTCCAGTTGGATCTAAACCATTTAATTTAAAATACCTTGGTTCCCACAAAACACTTTATTGAATTAAAATTAATTCACATTAAAAAAAAGTTTCAGAATACCCAGCAGAATCTGCTACACAGCCAATTGCATTTTAAAAAACATTTTAACTACAGCACAGGCATCTTCGTGAGAGTAGATATTAAAAAAAATTCTCATTACCTTCTGGCAGCAAGGTCCTGTACAAATCAGTTTTTCTATACAATATAATTGTGATTTTTTTATCAGTCTCCTTAACTATCTTCTTTAAGAGCTCTTCCTTTTCTGGTTTTTTTTGGAATCTCATTCCTAAATTATATCCCCTAATCAAGGTAAATACCATTCCTCAAAACCAATGCTATTCAGATTTCAGGGGAGCATTATTATGGTTTACAAAATCACTGATCCAGAAAATCGCCTTTGGAACATCAGAAGACCTTTCTTTGCTTTTATAAATTACTGACAATGAAGCAGCACACCGGCCACAGAAAATTCATCCACAACCTTTAAACAAATCTATGGTTTGGTGCCCTGTCAGTCTGCTCAGGCACTCTTCCCATATTTATCATGCTAATCACCCACTTCAGAAATAACAGAGAGAGGTCAAGGACAAAGTGTTGGTCAGTAAACTTCAGTGAATGCAGTTATATACCAGAAAATGCAATGCAGCATTGTGATGTTAAACAAAGCCTCAAGAGCAAAGCTTCTCCAGTTAGCTGAAAACAGAAGATTCTAAACCCTTCAGAGGAGTACATATCTTGTGTCAGAGATGCACACTCCTCTCTCCCACCCATATTGCTGACCTTTACTCAGCCCCAGCTTGCTGTGTTTCAGTGATGCAGACTGTAAGCTATAAGCTGTTATTTGGAATAATCTCCTGTGAAAAAAGTGTAAAATCTGACAGCCTTTCAATGTCAATTCCTTTAATGGATGAGATTGCTATTTTTCCCTCTGTGTAGAAGGGGGAGGGTGGTTTGAGCAGTTACTGTTTTAATTTTAGGAGTTGTACCACATCAATTTTGATCAACACAAAAAGTTTGTTAGAAACAGGAATATTTATTTTTTGCAGAACTGAAGTAACTCAAAAGACAGAGAAAAAAATACACCCAGATTTATTCACTTATGTATCTCTATACATTTAAAGAGTTCATAGACTGATTTGTCAGCTGTTAATGAACTCTTAACTGCATTCCTGAGAGAACGAGGTAAAACACAGCTTTAGGACCAGCTTTGTACTACTCAGGAACAGAGTCAGTACCAGATATAAGCAAGAGTAGCCACGATGCTATTCTGAAATCCACCAGCTTGTTCTGCTCCTATAGAGAAGTCACTCCAGCACACTCATCCTGAGCCAGTACAGGATCCAAGGCACCTTGACAGAATAAATGACAAATCTCAGGGATGTCATTTAGTGGCCGTGCAGATAAGAACAGTAAATAAGGGTACAACGAGCAGCTCTACTCATCCCATAAAAAGGTCATTCCAACAGCCCTGCACAGAACACCTCTGACTCAGTCTTCAGCTCGTGCTGATTTGACATCTGTGCCCGTTTTCTCTTCAGACAACTCAATAATGGCCTGCAGCTCAGCTCCAGAGAACTTAGGGGTCAGTGCCACATTGTCATAATCAAATTCTTCATCAAGTGAGAATGGCTGAACATCATCACCCAGTAGCTGTAATGAGGAAAAACAGATACATAAATAATATTGCTGCAACTGATAATAAGGAAGCTCAAAATATAAACTTCTAATTAATATTTAATTAAACTATTTTTTCTGACTCTAACACTCTCAGCTGATTAAGCTCTTTTTAAGTAAAAGAATAAATTCAATTATTCAATTTGACCTAATTTAAGCCATTTAATGTGCCCCATTTGTACTGTACAGTATCTGAATGAATATCATTAACTAATTTTGCTCAAGGCAAGGAATCTAAAAACCTCCCATGCACACATCTATTATATTCCTGCCACTTGCAGCAGGAGGGCTGTGGGGATATGGACATGTTATATGCAGTTATGTTAAATTTAAAAGACAGATTCCATATCATGAAAATTTGGGTTAGTGTTACATAAAGCTGCAGCATACATGCATCTAATACTAACATAACATACTTCCCAGAACAGAGTTTCAGTGAGGGAAAGGCCTGCAATGAGCAAAATAACACATAATAAATTTTCAGACTCCAATAATTTTTTTCACCATTTCAGAGACATGGAATTGGCTAGTTTGCATTTCTTGCACGATGAACATAAGAATCTTACTACATTTGCCAATATGTGCTTTGTTGACATATTGTATAGCATTTCTGCATTGCTTCTGGTTGAAATATCTTAGAATAAACACTCTGCCTATAAAACAAAACAATGAAAACAAATAACAATGGCAGGCTCCATGCTGATAAGGAACTGCAGGAGGCCACAACATGAAAGGTTTATGGTAAGCAGTTACATAAAATGAATTCCAGGGCAACACAGGAGACACATCTTCAATATTAAAACTGCGTAGGAATGCTCCCTATCCCATGGGAAAGCTAATATAAATTGTCTAGAAATGTGTTTCAAAGATTTAAGTACTTCAGCACCAAATCAGCAAAACGTTTAAACACATGCTTATTTTTTCAAGCTTTTGACAAGTCCTCAGTGAAGCCCATGACTACTGATGTGTATGAAATGAAGAACACATGTACTTGCTGGAAAGCAGGAAGAACACTCAGCATCCTGTGATCACTGCTCAGTTTGGAAGGCACAGTATCCTGCACAATTTGATGTGGCATTTTGTAAGAAGAAGCACTGACACAGTTAATGCCATCTAGTAAGTCAGAGAAGTGGTAGCTGGATTCCTCTCTGGTGGCTGAGTACTTGATAGACATGGCAGAGAGCATTTGGGTAGTATCTACATCCTTTATTAATAAACTGTAATGTTGCATGAATAATCTGGAAATAATTTTTCTGGGGTACTGTAATTTTATTAATCATCTATATTGCTCATTTTTCTAGGGATTTGGTTTACATATTAGAGCAGCCAAATAATCCTGGATGCAGATGTGAAGACCATGGGCATTTATAAATGTGAAAAATTTTGCAGACAGAGTTGGTCTAGAAAACAATATTCATTTTGCATACAAAGATTATCTTGCTTATATCCATAGACTACTTCAGGTAAACCATCATTAACTTTTATAAATAGCTCATTTGAAACATGTTAACAGGAGATAAAGCCTGCACAAAAACTCTCATTCCCATTAGAGACAAAGCCAACTTCTTGACCTCCTCAGCATATTCATGTTCATTTTAATCTTTTCCACAGGCAGAGCCTTGTAGAATTCCTTGTCAGTAAGATTACCAACAACTGGATAACAAATGGTAGCAGCAACCAGGGTTCTGCTACCTGTCTTTCATTTGCAAAAATCCAAAACACTCTTCTAAAATACAATGCAAGGCACAAATATTTTTGGTTGTAACAGTATTTTTACAATATTTTGGTTTG